CAACCGATGTCAGTGGCGTTCTTGTTGTCAGTTTCTATCCAGATTGCCTGAGTGAATGTCTGGAGGTGTAGGCACCTCGGAATGATTGTGTTCAGCTAGCACTAAGTTACAATAAGGCTTTCAAATACGCAATTGTTGTACGGCAGTGAAGCATCGGTGTTGAACACTGATGTCATGCTGTCGTTGGTGATGATTACTTAGATATGATGGCTTAGATTATATTCTTCCATTGAGATTCTTCCCCCTAGGATGTTGCCTATGCTTTGTTCATCTCCAGGGCGCAGAAGTGTATTCCTATGCGGAGGATGGAATGGTCACAGATCCCTTTTTGGCCGAGCATCTTGCACACTTTGGGATCGATGTGATGAGAATGAAAAAGACTGACAAAACGTTGGCCGAATTGGAGATTTCTGCAAACGAAAGATTGGGCGAATGGCAGCTTTTGCAGGAATCCGATCGCAGCCTGGAGCCAAGGTATGGACCAGGTATGACGGGATTGCGGAATTTGGGCAACACGTGCTACATGAATGCGGTTGTGCAGGTGAGGGTGGCTCCTTTTTTTTAGTAGGTGTCCTGTCCCAGATCCACAAGTTAGACACGCCGCACTACGATGAGATCTGTCTCGTAAGCTCACCTCCGACTTCGGTTTCTAAGTTTTGAGCAACTTTACAATGCATTCTTAACTTTTCTACTAGTTGTCTGTCGGTGCTTCACCTTTTTCCTGCCGAGTTTTTCTGTTTGCGACCCCAGAATCACATTACTGAGAATCAGATTGGATGATAGGTCGCACCGCACTTATCGCTTCTCTGTACAGTCTTAGCGGACTATGACCCATCGCCTTACCTTAGCCAATGTCTGGTGTTTCATCTGACAATCGGTTTCTCGCTGCTTCTCAACCGAATCCCCAAAAACATCGTCAGAGGCTGCAGAACTGACACGAAACAGAGTTGCATTTGATTATTACGGTAAGCTTGAATAGCACACGATGTCCGTGAACGCGACCGCAGTTTGTGACTTCTTGCATACCAAGCAAATAGCCTATCAGCTGATTGTGTCCCATTCCACCATACATGTGCGCTTGAAGTTCACACGGATTCGACACAGCACCGAGTTGTTTGGCCGTTGTCTCCGAGCTTCATAAGCAGGCCTTTCGTTTGAAGTCCAGGATGAGTCACACGTTGATATCCAAAAAAATATTGGCTTGAATCACTGTGGGGTATGGTGGTTTTTGGGCACTCCATATACTCGTTTAGCGATTCCAAAGAGGGGCCTCTTCTCTGGAAAGTTCACAACAAGGTTTGCTTTCTTGGGACGGAAACCACTCCTAGAGAACGTCAAGTACCTCCTCCCCCATTCCTTTTTGGTTAGGGATAATCGGACAGAATACCAAAGCCTCCATGTTACAAAACACAAAAATTGTGCTGAGTTTTCTACTCAGTCCAACTTGTGACCAAACGCTTAGCAGTTTAGCCTCTTATTTCGAGCCAGTCCGCGCACGGACAGGATGAGTAATAGCCAACACGGCGTGCTCTGTGCTACGTGTGGAACCACCTGAATGGCGCTCAGCTATTGTGCGCCTCCGCTGAAGACGAAGCCAGAGGATAAACAGGAAGAGCCAGTATCAAGCTGACAGGACCCGGTTCAATGGGCTTTTGGCGGCAGGTTTTGGTAATCGCGTATGCCCTCCACCGTTTGCAATTCTATTGCACCATCTTCACTGACGAGTGGACTTTCCGCAGGAAGACTTATCCTTCGCTCTGGGACCCCGTGAATGGTGGAGCAATTTCTTTGGGAACACGGAGTAAGACGGATTATGGATGAATAGATTAGGTCAGCTTTCTCATGCCGAACGGTCTTGATCTTATAGCCGGAGAGTGAACAAACTCGCTTTCAGGCAAAGCCAGAACAAAGTGTAAGAAAGTGTCGTTCAGCCGTACCACCCTTTTGTTACCTAGCCGCCCTGCCACCCGAGGGGAACACGAAGGCTGAGATACGGCCAGGTTGTCTAAGCCTAGACGGGAACGGTTTGGTTCGAACCACGGACCTTTCGGTCGCTAACTTCGCGCCTTAACCACTGAGCCAACTCGAACTGCACGAGAAGCTGCATGAACAACCTGTTCAACTATTCATCCCCTTTTCACTTTAGGTCGGACAATATTCTATATTCGAGAAATACACTAATTTGCAAATCAACTTGGTTTTCATGAGAGACTCAACTGAATCTCTAGTTTATGATATTCTACAACTGAATGTGCTGCACGCAGGCCGCCTCATGATTCAGGTGGCACGATATTCGTAATATCACAGTATGTTTTCGTAAAGGAAACAGTCCAATTTGGGTTCAAGTAGAACATAAGGTTGACGGAAACCCGGGGACTGCGCCTACCTGATGAGCCCCAAGAAGGGCGAAACCGGTCGTGGGCTGTCGAAGAGTTTTCAGCAATCTTAGGTGTAGTTTCCTTTATGAAAATATGCGATATTTTTCTTTCGTATTCTTATTCTCAAGAGTTTCTTACGTGATAGGTTGGAGATGGCTTAAGTGGTTAGAGCGCGAATTAACTGACCGGAAGGTCCATGGTTCGAACCCAACCTCTACCTCTCGACTTCCCCCGTCTAGGCTTGGGCAACCTGACAGTATCCTAGCCCTCGTGTTTCCTTCGGATGGCACGGCAGCTAGGAACTGGAAGGGTGTTACAGCTGAACGATTATTTCACTCTCTATTATGTTGTCATTGAACAAATTTCACACAGGTTGGGGGATGACGCAAGCGACAGAACCTTCCTGGTGAAACGTTTTGACCGGTCATCTTTACCTTGTGAACGCGTTCGGGTCTCACCCAGATGAACGAGGCAACAGGAACATTCATGGGGCTTTCCCTGCACACAGTGCAAATAGTCATTTTGTAATATGTTTCCGTTACGCCTGTACGGAATTTCATTCCCCTTAGCTTCAGACAGGTTGGAACGGTGCCAGCACACTCTATGACCGCACGTTTGTCATCACTGATATGAGTGGACTAAAAGGAACAAACATAGTGAGGCCCCGGTATCGAACGGTTCAGTTATTAGATGACCAACGATTCTCAATCGTTCCCCCGGTTTAGTAATCTTCTCCTTTAATAACGGTATGAGCAAGCACACTGCACTGGTGATCCTCTATGGAAGTTGCAGTTTCGAGTCCACATCACCAACTTTTGGCTAGCAAGTACCGAACGGCCTGCTTTGACACCACTTCATTTCTTTTTTCCGGATGTTCACATGCGTTTTCCGTTTGACAGGTCTTATTCGCTATTCCTCAATTCCGATGGCTATACGCTTACCGACTTCCGTATTGGATTGAGAAAACGTTACAGGGGCTAAAATCTCCTACCACTGCTGGGTCTTGCCTCCCTATCGATCATATTGGTCTGCAGTTTGCCAAACTTGGACACGGACTCTGCTCCGGTGCCCATTCATGGCTCGTCCCCGAGAATTTCGAGGAACTTCGTGAGGGACCTGTTCCTTTGCTTCCAGGTAATTTGTGAAACGTGTCTTGAGTTTTGTGACTGAGTTGGACAATCATATTCAGTCTAGGCACCAGGTGATCACATAGCGTGCAGTTCAATGTGGATTCCGGCAGGACGGCTTTGATGGCAACGACGAACAGCCCACCAACCTCTGTCTCTCTATCCCCTTCTCCTACCTTCTCCATGCAGGTATTCGTCCTCAATTGTTCCGTCGTCTGATGGGCCTACATAATTCCACGTTCCGTACGAAACAGCAACAAGACGCTTACGAATTCCTTCTATATCTGTTGGAACTACTAGATACCAAGGCAGCATCGGATCAGTCAACTAGTAGCCTGTCTAATGCCCACGGTCAACCGGTGGTCGTCGGCTCCCCAACTTCCTGTCTACGGTTTTCCGTTGAGGACCGCCTGGAGTGTGGGATGACAAGCAAAGTGAGAAGTTCGATTGTTTTACTGTGTGTACGGTAAACGGGGCGTCGTAGTACTGTCGTCCGAGATGCTGATGTGTCACGGCTAGACTCACCCTGTTTCTGATCTTTTAGAGGCCCTTAAAGCCATTCTGTTCCTTTTCAGACCTCCCCGATATCCTATTTAGTAGGATTAGTAGGATTAGAATGATGTCACTTTGAAGAGAGCATTCCATCCGTCCTCGATGGAACTGAAATAGTAATTACGCCAGTTTTTACAACGCGTCTTAACGAAGGAGGTAATCACACTTATGATTGTGTGGAGATTTGGTTAGTGCATTCACGCGACAGCTAGTTGCTGATTTTGGTAGCCTAAATGCACCGGCAATGAGTTATTACCTCACTTGTCGTCTAATCTGGTGTGCGTCTGCCATGCCATAAGTAGTTTACGAGTGGCGTACTTATTTTTAAGTCTGGAGGCCACTGTCCCTTGGGTTACAACCCATCCCCTGGAAGATACTACTACCACTACAACTACTTTAAAACTCTTACTCGTTGAGCTACTCGGTAGGAGGCATCCCATAGTGGAAGTAAAATCTAGTGACAGCACCCCGGCTAACTTGGCCTTTCGAAGTGACTGGTGTCTCAGGGCGGGTTCCTGGACTGTTGTGGTGAGGTGTCTATTTTCCGTTATAAACTCTGTTCCTACGCCGGCATGACCACAAACCTGCAGAATCCTAAACGTGAATTGTCTCTGGTCGATCCAGTCGTGTCGTTGTTTCGCGGGAAATGCCGTGCTTCGTCCTGTATTACTCATGTGCATTAAAGACTGACAGCAGAAGAGTGCGCAGTGTACCGGGGACACATGAAGAATGGGTAGACACACGTCGGCTGTAGAGAGTTGAATAAATGAATGGATCGTTCAGCTGTAGCAGGGACTCCACCCAAGTACAATTTACTCCTGACTTGCGTTGGCAAATCGATGAAGCCGTTCGGCTGTAGCATCCTTTCGGTACCTAGCTGCCATGCCACCGGAACGGAGGCGCGAGGGCTGGGATACTGATAGGTTGCCCAAGCTTAGACAGGGGAAGTCGAGAGGCAGAGGTTGAGTTCAAACCACTGATCTCCCGGTCAGTAAATTCGCACTCTAACCACTTGAGCCATTTCGTGGCTGACACGCAGTTGTTCTGAAAAGACCAGTCGAGTTTAGGTGATGCGACGGAGAATGACACAGCAGTAAGTGAATGAGTTGGGGATTGAGAGGTAGACCTGGAGTCGATGGATTGAGGTGAAAGGCGAGAAAGGGGAGACGTGTGGTTTTCGCAAGGGTAGAATGCAGCTGATCTTTACGAAATTTAGTCAATGGTCTCTACATACCCTGATTACGATGTACTGTTGGTCTGCGCTCTATCCTCATGAATCTACGTTGATACAGTTAGTTGAGAAGGGAAGGCAGTGGATATGAAAAAGATGATATATTCTTCTGTGATGTGGATGCAACTCGACGCGAACGAAACTAAATCATTAACGGACTTGGAGAATTCGGTGGAAGATAATGCGGAACCTCTGGAACTTGGACTTTGTGGACCCGAGCAACTAAACCTCCAGGGTGAACTTCAAACGAATGGTTAGTTGGCAAGCTTCCAACCAAACTGGGGGCGAGATCGCTCAGGAGTTATAGCGCGAGTTTACTGACCGAAAGGTCCGTGGTTCGAACCCGACCTCTGCCTCTCGACTTCCCCCGTCTATGCTTGGGCAACCTGGAAGTATCTCAGCCCTCGTGCTTCCTTCTGGTGTCTTGGCAGTTAGGTACCGAAAGGCTGCTACACCTGGACAACTTTTTTCAAGATCAAGAGGAGATCAATATCGGAAAAAGGCGGTCTGACAAAAAAAACCTTGTGCCATACTTGACCTTGTACCTTTGGGCACAGTAGTTCAGTTTTACCGAAAAGGTCGACTGGTGAATTAGTATAGATTTAACTGTTATGGGGATGGTCTTATCCCTGTAAGAGCTTTCACGTATCTGGACCTTTTTTCTTTTGTGCTGCTTGCTGATTTCGGCCAGATCCATGGATGTGCTTCTGAAGTTCCAGACGTTTCTCTAGTCGGTGTTGTTTTCTTCACTGAGGCTGAGCGGAGCACTTTGCAAACTGTCTTTTATCTACCGTTTCGTACCCACAGATCTGTTAGTTTACACAAATTTGTCCTCTATAGCTTTTTATTCTGTTCTCAAAAAACGAATTTTAAGGTACGTTACACAACACGTGAAGATGTGTGCCTGTCGCTCCCGGTTCCCCTCACGGAAATGATCAATCGAGAGGAGTATGAGGCCTACGAACAACGCCGCCAGGAAGCTGAAGCCTCCGGGACTAATTTACCCACGGACGACGTTGTCCGACCGCGCGTTCCGTTCGAGGTACGTATGCTTCTTGTTTGCAACCATTCGCATCGAATGTACGGGGGAGACGTGTGAGCGTAGCATCTTTCATCCCTCTATTTGTGCTTTTTATCCAGCTCACTGGTTAGGGGCGGGGTCAATTTCAACTAACTGATGGCTCTTACATCCCGTTTACATCTATTGGGGATGTAGGAAATCGATTGTAACTTATGTTATCACTGCAGCTCCTGGTTATCGTTTCAACCACCAACATTGGACAGCCTTACTCTCAATTTTTCACTGATATTGATGTGCTCCAGCAAAATAAAAGACGTACTGCCGCTTGATTCGATATTCTCACTTTATCTTGCAGGCTTGTTTAGCTTCTTGGAGCAACACAGAACTGATCGAAGACTTTAGGACTCCAGCGAGTGATCCTCCGGGTTTAAAAACGCACGCCCTACGTTCCAGTCGACTGATAAACTTTCCAGACTATCTGTGCATTCAGTTGTCCAAGTTCACTGTTGGCTCTGATTGGCTACCACGGAAACTGGACGTTGAAATTGAGCTACCGGTGACAGACGATCAAGGGAACATTCGTATCGATTTGTCTCGTTTACGTTCAAAGGGTGGTCTACAACCGGGTGAGGTACCGATGCCAGACTCGGAACCAGCTATCGGTGAGCCACTGCTTTGATTGACGTGTTCGTGACTTCCTCTTTAGGAGAACATGATACGGTACTCACTGCCTGTTTCCTGTGGATATTAGGGGTGATTTTCGGTAATTTAGTGGTCATTTAGTGATATCCTCTTATGGATCACCTCGGTTTTTTTTGACGCCCAAGTGACCGGTTGCACTGCTCCCACAGTTGTGTTGTCCGCATTGGTAATGCCTTAACTCGGTCTTCCAGTCAAGAGTTTTATTCTACAGGACTGTGTAAACTGATGTCAAGAAATCGAAAGCCGTTGTCCAGCTTGTTCCACAATCCTTTCATGAATCTTCGTTGAGATGTGAACCTTCTGGATGGAATTTGTACAGACCAGACCTGTCCTCTGCGATCATTTGGCACGATTTCGGTGTTCACACAACGCACAACTCTCAAGGCGCACACTTCATTAAACCCTACCCTGAGCCTCAGCTAAGTAGTCTGCTCAGCAATCTCCTGATGTCCAAGAGAGTATTCCATTCTATAAAGAATCAGCTTTGTTTTGGACTTGTTTGTCTTTTTGTCAAACTACTGTTGGTTTGCTGAGCTCCAAATAAGCTATCGATCGGCACCAATTAGTGACTACTTTTCTGGCTGTCTCCTGTTTAGACCGTCGTGGCCTGTTCAAATCACTTCTGCTTTCACCATAAATGACCGCATTCATAAAGGTACTGTATTGACGAGATGGCCCAAATGATTAGAGCGCTAATTTACTGATCGAAAGGTCCGTGGTTCGAACCCGATTTCTGCCACTCAACTTCTCCTGTCTAGGCTTTGGCAACCTGGCGGTATCTCAGTCCTCGTGCTTCCTTCGGGTGGCATGGCGCCGAAAAGGCGCTACAGCTGAACGGTTGTTCTTTTTATTATTACAATTGTTGTTAAAAAAATTATCAAATTGTTCATTGCTCACTTTTTCTCTTACCAGCTCCTGCCCCTCCGGCTCTTGTTCCGGATGAGGCTGTAGTGCAGGAACTAATGAGCATGGGTTTCCCGATCAATGCCTGTCGACGTGCGTGTATTGAAACTGACAACTCGGGTTTACAGGCGGCCACAATGTGGATCATGGAACACACGGATGATGCGAATTTCGATGCTCCTCTGTCGGACGCGGCTGCACGCGGCGCCACTGCGCAACCGCTGCCTGACGAAGAGTCCATCACAATGATGACCTCGATGGGTTTCACTAGAGAACAAGTCAGTTTGAGTTGTGTCTTTACTTCTACCGCGAATATTTTAATCTTGATGCTGTTCTTCACTATTTTCAAGGTCGCACTAGCCAAATTTGGTGTCGTTTATTTGTGCATCTTGAAGTTCATTAGCATCTCTAATCATCTTATCACCACTGGCGCTGATCGGTTATTATACTCACCAGTACACAAGTGGCCGGGAAGAAGAAAGAAAGCGTTCAGCTGCAGCACGCTTCCGGTGCCTAGCTGCCACGCCACCTGAAGGAAGCGCGAGGGCTGGGATACTGCCAGGTTACCCAAGCCTAGACAGGGGAAGTCGAGTGGCGGAGGTCGGATTCGAACCACAGACCTTCCGGTCAGTAAATTCGTGCTCTAACCACTTGGACCATCTCGCCCAAGATCAAGCAATGGGAAACGCCGATCGGGAAATTATCGTTTCACTTGGTGGATTTAGTGCTGGGGAATGTCTCGTTTTGTTACAAAAAAGCTTCATCAGGTTAGGCGATTAGGTTACAAGGTTTATTGAGTTTCAAGGTAGCAGGAGAGCCTTGCTGGTGGGCAGATTGGCTCAGTGTTAGTTGCCTGCGGAGTCTCACTGTTCTGCTTGACTTCATGTGTGGATTCCTTTTGAGTGTCATTCACAATTTTTGTTGGTCTGTAGGAGCTAGCGTGAGGAATTACTTGAAAACTCAGTCGGCTCAGGCTTTCCAGCATCAATCATAATAATAGTAATTGTAACAATACTGATAATAATATGTCTCCTCCACGTCTACCAATGAGTTCTCTTGACTGATAACCACACATTCCCATTAGACACCCAAAACCACCCTTCACACGTTCACAAGTCCTGCTCCTTCAAATCCAACTGTTCAACAACTATAATGTTTGTGATGTACTACTCATACGGTCGCTGAAAATCCATCGACATCTCACGACCGGTTTCGCCCTTCTTGGGGCTCATCAGGTGGGTGCAGTCCCCGGATTTCCGTCAACCTTATGTTCTACCTGAAACCAAATTGCGCGAAATTAGCGAATATACACTCATTTGCAAACTAATTTGGTTCTTTCGAGAGACTCACCTGGAACCCAGCTGAACCTCTCGTTTGTGGAAACCCTTTCTGAGTCATCGAGCTCAGCGTGATTGGAGATACCGCAAGACATGGTAGCTAGTCGACTTTGTTGGAATTCGTGTTGGCAATTCTGGAGTTATGATTGTGGCAGACTACCTCCTTTCCCATACACTTTTATTCTATTCTTCACGATACTACTTTCTTCTAGGTCCTAGCTTTGCGCCAATGAAGCATAAATGTTGATGACTGATGGTGTTCTGATGGTGACGTCATCAAAACTTTCCTTTCCGTGAAGAAAAGTCTTCCCAACACGCCTGTGTAACAAAATGAACAATGTCATGTGAGCACCGGTTGAGCTGGAGTGTTCGGATTCGCGGCCCACATCCCCCTTGAAACTTCGAAATCCTGTACCACAAAATCGTTCAGCGGTAGCACCCTTTCCTTGCCCATACCACCTGAGGGCTGTGATACTGTTAGGTTGCCCAAGCCTAGACAAAGGGGTCGAGTTTCAGAGGTTGGGTTCGAACCATGGACCTCCCTGACCACCCATCTGCTTAATGCGGCACTACTCTTACTAAACGCTGAACATAACAAATAGATAGCCTAGTCTCACTGTCACTCCAACGAAGTCGCGTTTTGCAGCCTGTGTCTCTCTAATCATTTGTGCAATTAGAAGTACAGTTGGACGGAATAACCCTGACTAATTAATTCAACGAAGACCCTCTTCATCTTCAAGGTTGTTTCGGTTTGATAAACGATTTCCTCTGTGTGCGTGTATGGCAAGAGGTTTGCAGGTGTTGACACGACACAACTTCGTGGATTGATGATGAAAACCGTCTGACAGCCCACCACCAGTTTCCTTATTTGGACTCACTAGCTCGTAGTCCCCGAGCTTTTGTCATTTCTGCTTGGTAGTTGAGCACCAGATCATGTGTGCGTGAACTTACACACTCATTCACGAATTAAGATGCTGTTAATGGTGGACTCAACCAGACCTCTTGTTTGTCCAGTCAGAAGTTACCACTCCTTGAGGAGCCTTAAAATGGGGAGCAGTGAGCTGTAACCAGTCTTGTAAGTAGTATCGTTCCATGTCTTGAATATCTCCTCAACCGGAAAATTATTCGGTCTCCGTCCAGCACACTGTCGATATCTTAAGCGAGCGGTTCCATTTCACGACTCGTTGTCCAGGTTGCTTGGAACTGTTTGTCGCGCCTTCGGGATTGCACAGGTCGAAATTTTTCACTCAACCTTCATATTCCAGCTCTACTCCGTGTTTAGGTTCAGTTATCTTCATGTTGTCTTATGGCTGGTGCTTTCCGTAGAACCGATAGAACCCGAGGTAGCTTAGTGGGGGCTCGATGTAGTTCACTGGTTACATCCTGAAACTGTTGCCTGGAAAGTCCCTAATTCGAGCCCGACTTCGACATTTGGACTGCTCCTGGACAGCTCCTAGTTCTTGTGAAAAATCACTGTATGGAACCACAGACCACAGCATCTCGCCTCTTTCATATCGTTTTGTCTTTTAGGCGATAAAAGCTCTGCGCCACACTGGTAACGATCTTCCGGCAGCCGCCGACTGGGCATTCAGCAATCCGGACCTGTTGGACGCTCCCATGGACGCAGACCAGAGCCCTACTGGTGACACCGGTTCAGTCCAACAGGCAGACAGCAGTCACTCTGTTCAGACCGTGGCCAAACTGCCGCTGTCTGATGGGAGCCCAGTCTACGAACTCTGTGCTTTCATCAGTCACATGGGCAAATCCACAACGGTATGTCTGTCTGTATGGCACATATCGTGTTCGCCACTTATCGTGTTGCTCACCTATGGAAAAGTCCTTTTTTGCACTAAAGCCCGCACGTTTGTCGATCTGGTTCGGAAGCCATGCCACTAGTTAGTTTCTCCCAACAAGGGGTTGCCAGTGGTATGAATATGCTCTCCGGTAACGTTGTATGGTAGTGCGCCATCTTTCCTGTTGAGCGCGCCTAACTTTTACACACCACTCTAAATTTTGCGAGCATCTGGTCACTATTTGGATTACCCGCCATCAGTTTACTCGTCGCTGAGTTTCGTTTGGCATGCTGCGTTTACATCGGAGATTTTTTTTTACATTAAGGTCGACTTGATCAAGTTTCTTCTCCCCTCATTTTGATTGCACGTTGACCTTCTGGATTGTGATGTCCTCATGTGTTCGTTGCATTTTAAAGTTATTTTCAAGCAAGAAGAACCAGCTAACGTCCAAGTAGTCATCTAAACTAGTAATTAAAAAAACTGTTGTGTGATGGTGAGTGAATCGATTATATGCAAAAATCTGTTGGTCTGCCACTCCTTTTTTCGGTCGTACCACTCTTGGCACCTGGTGACGGCAATGCTCTTCACCTAAACATCGCTCGTCCAGTTTTAAATAGGGTTACTTTCTCACCTAATTTTACGTTTCTGCTATGTGAACATTGCTCACGAATTTCGGTTGAATTTGATTCAAGTTCCATTCATCACGGGTGTTTTTCACTAACCGGAACCTCATATTCCCGATTGTCCAAACAGATTCTTGAGGCAAGACTGAGCTCGAGACAGCTCAGCGAAACTGCTGAACAGAAGTTCCATGGTTCGAACCTAACCCTGCCTTTTGTATTGTCTAGGCTATGCAATTAAAAGGTACCTCAGCCGAACCATCACTAGTACTCATTGTTCGAGACCAGGACGAAACTAAATTTGATTTTGATTATGGTGTAGCAGCGGATACTACTGATGAGGCATGCGAGTAGTCTGTGATCTTCTCGAAACTCCGCTCCGTGTCTAATGAAGGATGAAGTTCATCAAGGGGGGCTTGTGGAGCTGCTTTGGGGTGTTCGTTTACAATAGCGTGATAGTCAATGAACAGCCATGCAAGTTGATGAAGACTCTTGAGAATGTTCGGTTTTCGAAACCTGTGTGCCTATGAGACGTTTGCTTTCCTGCTTAGCTGGTGTTTGCTAATAAATGACTTCATGGTGAGGGGCTTTCCTCCTTACAATGGTACCTCCGTCATCATTTATTCAGACCAAAACTGACGACAGGTAAGGTTGACGCTTTTGCCGTTCAAGCAAACTTCAGTATGCACGTCAAGAGCAGCTGGTTGGGTCAGTTCTGTTGAACGACGAGGATGAATCCCAATCATGGATCCTGTGAACAGACTAAAGTGATTTGCTTTGGATTCGTGATGAATGACTGGGCGGACTCTAGGCAAGAACATCCTATCCGATTGTTATCATTATCTACTCCGATACAACAAACGTGTTCTTTTGCAACACAATGAGTAC